TGCCAGCCTGGCCGGCCGCACTATTCATAGCTCTGGGGCTGGCGTGGTTCGCATACTTGGCGTTTCTCTAGTCTGGCTGGCCTGAAGCTGTCGCCCCTTCGCGCTCCTCCCTACTCCTCTCGCCTCCCCTTTCCTCCTCTCCCTCGGCCTCCCCCCTGCCTTCATCCTCTCCGCCCATCTTCTTGAAATCTAGAGTCCGCAGGGGGAAACTGAGGCCCTGAGAAGGGGCGTGCCTTTGGGCCGGGCCTGCAGGGAGAAGCTGGTTGTAAGGAGGCTGCAATGCAGCGGCCCAGAGCCTGGCCTGTGTCCGCAGACCGGCGACCGGGTGCCTGGGCTTGAGTCGGAGCTGCCACTGGCGTGGGACCCTGGCGAGCTCCGAAGCTCGCAGTCCGGGAAGCTTCTCAGAAGCAGTCAAGCTGAGACCTGGAGGACAGGGATCCGTTAAGGGAAGACGGGGGACGGGGAGAGACAAGGGTTATATTCCAGAGAGACGGGCTGGGGATGTGGCGGGCCAGCCCTGAGTGGACAAGGACTTGGCTAGCTGGGGTGAGGGGACCCAGGACACTGCAAAGGGGATTGAAGCAGCTTCTCCCCCCATCCTTATTCCAGCACCCCACTTTCCGGATCTGGATCCCACTGAGGAAGGGGTAGGATGCAAAAAAAATAAATAAATAAAAAAATAGACAAAGGTCTGAAGCAGCCCCAGCACCAGGCAGACACCTCCCAAAGACTCTCTGTGAGGAGAAGCTCATTCATCCCTTCACATTCAGAAATGGTTTGCCCAGCGCTCACCTTGTGCCAGGAGCTGGGGATTTGACAGCCAGCAAGGCAGCCGGTCCCTGCCTTCCAGAACTCACAGTCCTGGGGTGGGGTAGGAAGATGGTCAAAATGACCTCATAATTATATAGACGCCAGCTCAAGGTGCTGTGAGGGGTGCAGAGTGACCAGCCCTGGTTAGGGGCCCAGAGGAGGTGTCTCTGGGGCAGTGACTATTCTTTTCCTCCTGAGAAATGCAGGGTGGGTAGTAGTTAGGGTGTGTGTTGGTGAGGCAGGGAGCGGGCTGGGGAAGAGAAAACAGCATTCCAGAAATAGCATGTGCAAAGGGCCTGAGGCTGGAAGGGTGCCGGGTCCTCAAAGGAACTGGCAGGAGGCCAGGGGAGCTGGAACACAGAGGAAAGGGGTGGGGTGGGCGTGTGGGAGCCGGGAGGCATGTCCCACAGAGTCTGGTGGCCATAGCATTGAAGCAGCCGGTCTGGACTGTCAGGGGAGTGGTGGCCGCGAGGAGCAGAGCGGTGGACGTGGTGAAGCGGTGGACCCGGGAGACGGTTGGAAAGCAGAGCTCACTGACGGGTGGAATGCAGGGCTGGGGCCATAACACCTCCCCTTTATCAGCTCCCCAAATGCTTCCCCAGCAGCTTGTCAGACCGCTATCCCCAGCTTCGTTTTGTAGCTGAAGAAATAAGAAAACCCCAGTGACCTTGAGGTCACATAGCCGGAAAGGGCCAGGGCCAGTACCGAGGGCAAGTGTGACCCCTTCCCGTATCAGCCTTCTCGATCCTGGGACAGTGAGTGATCTCTCACCAGCCTCCTAGCTCCAGCCCCTTGGTGCTCCTGTGGGTTAGCCCAGCATTTCCTACCTAGCACCAGACTGGGGGGTGGGGGCAAGGGGCCAAGATGGTGTGTGTGTGTGTGTGTGTGTGAGAGAGAGAGAGAGAGAGAGAGAGAGAGAGAGAGAGAGATCCCAAGAGGCTGTTCTGCTTTAAATGAGGTCATGCATGTGCAGCCTGCCTGGCATATAGTAAGGACTCAACAACTATTAATATGGGGCCAGGCAAACTGGTGAGGGGTAGGATATAGGGCTGAAGGCAATGCCATCTGTCCTCTTCTGACCACAGAGCCCAGCCCAGAAACCACCTCAGCTCCCCTATGGGCAAGAGCCAGGGGAGATTGTCCCTACAGAGCCACCGTCCCCTCCACCCTTCCAGCTGCCTCTGGGCCATCATGGACTGGGTGAGGGAGAGGCTCAGCTCCTAGGTGGGGTGAAGGGATGACCTGGGCAGGTTGGGCAGGGCCTGGGTGAGGGGGTGGGTGGTTTCAGGGGTGGGGCTGAGCCTCTCTTCACCGGCAGCCCCAGGTGCCCTGAGGGAGACTTTCGGAATCTGCCGAGGCCTGCCCTGGGAGATGTGGTCTCAGCTTGACTAGGACCGAGCCCTCCCCTGAAAAACAAAACAAAACAACAGTGGGTGCACCTGTTGTCTTTGCCCAGGTGGTCAGACAACAGGCAGATATTCATAGAGAGAGCCACTCCCAGAGTTCCCCCCCCCTCCCCCCATCGCTTCTGAAATGGGCTTCCAGTGTGGAGTCTCCCAATGGATATGATGGTTTTGGAGAAGAGTCATTGTACGCATTCTCCTGCCTCCGGGAATGACTGCCCTTCACTCGATCTAAGAGGCTCTAGCCCAGCGGTTCTCAACCTGTGGGTCGCGACCCCTTTGGGGATCGAACGACCCTTTCACAGGGGTCGCCTAAGACCATCGGAACACACATATATAATTACATATTGTTTTGTGATTAAGCACTGTCCTTTAATTATGTTCAATTTGTAACAATGAAATTGGGGGTCACCACAACACGAGGAGCTGTATTACAGGGTCGCGGCGTTAGGAAGGTTGAGAACCACTGCTCTAGCCTCTCTCCAGTGCTCCTTGACCAGAGGGAGAACCTTCCCAGGTTCCATAGACCCTGGTCCCGGGAGGAGGTGGAGAGGGGTGGTCCTGGGGTGTGGTTGGGGCTGAGGGGAATGGAGGATGAACGGGGAGAGGCAGGGTGGAGGGAATGAGGGTGGTAAGTGTGCTAGTGCTGCGCCAGCAGGGGGCTCTGCTGCACATGGGACCTGCCTGCATGTTGGTCTTGGAATGTGTGCCTAGGAGAGCATGTGGGAACGGGAACTTCCTGTGTGTGCGCCCTCGTGTGTGTATGTGATGGGTGTGCTGTGCGGGGTCGGCCCTCAGGAGGCGGGAACCTCACACTTAGCCCCGCTTTTGATAGGAAAATTCTTCCAAGGTCCTGACACCATGGGATACGGCATCCCCAGAGACTGCGCCTCCATCAGGTCAGCCCCTGATAGATGGCAGGTCCTCATCAATGCCAAGGGCGGACTGTACCAAAGTTCGGACTCCCTGGCAGCCCCAGAGCGCCCCCTGTGCCGGGGGTACTAGGGCCCCCAAAGATGACAATCAGGGGTCTGAGAAGGCACGGAGAGGAGAGGGGTGGGAAGGAAACGCCCTTAGGCAGGCGGTTCCCAGCTCCCGGACAACCTCTGGGTCGGGCTTGCTTCTGGGCCCCAGTGGGAGATTGTTCACTTGTTCCCTCTCCTTTCAACAGGAATTTTTTTCCCATTTGAATTCTGATCTTGCCATTTTTTTCTATTGTGGTAAAATATACATAACATAAAATATACCTTTTTATTGTTGTTGTTAATCCTCACCCGAGGAGATATATACATATATAACATATTTATATATATTCCCCCCCCCCATTGATTTTTAGAGAGAATGGAAGGGAGAGAGGGGAGAGGAGAGAGGGAGAGAGAGAGAGGGAAAGAAATATCACTGTGTGAGAGAGAGACACATCGATTGGTTGCCTCCCACAGCATCCCTGGCCAGGGACTGGGAATTTAATCTTGACCAGGTATGTGCTCTTGACCAGGAATTGAACCTGAGACCCTTTGATGTGCCGGCAGATGCTCTAACTATTTAGCAACACTGGCCAGGGCTAAAATGTACCACTTTTAAGTGGTATTAAGTACATTCACATTGTAGTGCAGCCATCATCACCACCATCCATCTCTAGACATTTTCCATCTCCCCAAACTGAAACTCTATACTCATTCAACAGTAACTTATATTTCCTGTTCCCCCAGCCCTTGGCAGCCGCCATTCTATTTTCTGTCTCTATGAATCTAGGTATTTCATGTAAGTAGGATTATACAATATTTGTCCTTTTGTGTCTGGTGCATTTCACTTAGCATAATGTCCTCAAGGTTCATCCATGTTGTCACATATGTCAGAATTTCCTGCCTTTTTAAGACTGAATAAAATTCCATTGTATGTATATACCACATTTTTTAAATTTTAATTTGTTTCTCCCATCACCATTTATTCCTCATGCCCTCTTCCACCTCCACTCACTCCCCCCGCCACCCCTGCACAATCACCGCACAGTTGTTCGTGCCAATGAATTCTTTCTCTTTTTTTCTTTTTTGCTCAATCCCTCCACCCCCCCAGCCCACCCCCCACTGCCTGACAGCTGTCAGCCTGCGCTCTGTCTACGAGTCTGTATTTTACATGTTAGCTCACTTTGTTCATTAGATTCCACATATGAGTGAAATCATTTGGTGCTTGTCTTTCTCTGACTGGCTCATTTCACTTAGCATAATGTTCTCCAGGTCCATCCTTGCTGTTGCAAAGGGCAAAATTTCCCTCTTTTTTACAGCTGATTAGTATTCCATTGTGTAAATGTACCATCGCTGTTTTAGCCACTCATCGACTGATGGATGCTGGGGCAGACCACATTTTGTTTATCCATTCATCTATTGATTGACACTTGGGTTGTTTCCACCGTTTGGCTTCTGAGTAATGCTGCCTTGAACATGAGTGTGCACATATCGGTTTGAGTCCCAGCTTTCTTATCTTTCGGGTACAGAGGCAAAAGTGGAATTGCTATGTTTAATTTTTTGAGGAACCACCGTACTGTTTTCCATAGCAACAGCAACCATTTGGCATTCCCACCAGTAATGCATAAGGGTTCCAATTTCTCCACATTCTCACATGAACAAATACCTATTG